AAGAACCATTGAGTCGGAGGTTTACACACGTCAACTCTCACCTGTTGAGAACCGACCGGCTGCAACGGGTGACGTCTGTTTGACATCAAAGTTACTGTTTCCATGAGGTTCCCCAGTGGATTGGAAAGGTTATCTGAAGCCTTTGTGTTTCACCCTTGCAGGCATTTTCCTCTGCAAAAGATGAAAGGTGTCGTAGGGGCTCCACGAGCAGTTAGGGTTCGGTGCTTTGCTCAAGGGCACCTCAGTAGTGCACAGGGAGTGTGAACTGGCCCCCTTCCAGCTGCCAGGTCCACACTGTGGTCTGTGGCTGGGACTTGAACCCCCCCCCCCCCCAAAGACCGAGCTACTGCCGCCCAGTCGTAGGAAGATATTTTAACTTTTAAAGCATTTTTTTGGGAAGTTGGAGCCGACAAAGGAAGCAAAAAGGGGTTGGCTGTGATTTATAGTGATCCAGGTTTAGATTATTGATTAACACTGAAGACTTTTATTATCTTTAAATTTTAACATTAATGTAAAAACTCAGAGTGGATTCCTTTAGACAAAATCCTCTCAGATTGGAGGTCCGAGGTTTAATGTGCATCTATTTGGAGGTAGTTGACGTATAAACGTTTGGGAACCCCTGAAATAAAAGGAAAATTACAATTATGGCTTATTTTTGTGTCTGCAGTTAATTACTTATCAGCTTTTTTACGTTTCTTTTCTTTTTCCTATCACAGATCCCCCAAGTTTAAAGCCTTCATTGACTTAAAGTGCTTCACAAGTTCAATATACTTTAAGAGGAAAACAGCTGACAGTGAATGTAATGAAACATCAGGAGAAGGTGGGAGTGAATCTATAGCACAAATATGCAAGAATCAAGCCTCTGAGGGAAGGTTATAGACTGCTGTGTGTGTGTGTGGTGTGTGTGTTTTGTGTGTGTGAGAGAGGAGAGAGTGTGTAATGTGTGTGTGTGGTGTGTGTGTGGTGTGAGAGAGAGAGAGAGAAAGAGAGTGTGTGTTACCTACTCCTCACGACATTGTGGTCAATCAAACCGCTCTCTCAGACTCACTGTGTCTCTGTGGCCAGGCTCCAACCCGGGACGGTTTTACCCACCCACAAACACACATATAGACACACACACA